ACACATATAACTGTATTTTACTTATATCCAGTGCAGCCATTGGTCAACACAGTAATATATAGGCTTCCAAAACATTAAAAATATAGGACCATCCAGTATTCATCTATCTTATATGTACTATGCTTTACACAACAAAACAACAAATACTGAGCTGTAACATTAGAAAGCTTGTTTCCTGAACATAGAATAGGCGTATTTTTCAAGATCTATTTTTGTCTTCTGACAAATTTCAGTATTTGGTGCAACAGAATGCTAGCTGCATGTGATACCTTCACCTGTAAATTATCTGGCCTTCCTCATGCAGAAGGACTCACACAACATACCTGCAAACATAGCTAACTGCTAGTTGTTATGGAGAAATACATGCAGTAAAGCATACTTGGAAAGATAAGAAGGTATTCTGATGGACAAAACAAAGGCTCACAAATTAGTGTTTATTAATTCTTTTCTTGTTGCTACGAGTGACTTAGTGTGTCCCCTGGGGAAAATGTCTTTGCTCCATACCGTAGTTCCTGCATTAGCAAAATAATATTAGCCAAAAAGAGTCTCATTAAACGTAATTAATGTTAGTGAAGTGTTTTGAGAACCTCATACAAAAGGTGCTATAAATGTACAATCTGCCATCATATTGTACTGTTTCAGTATCATTTGACCACTTCAGAAATATATGCCACTGACATAAACTACAACAGAAAGCCACACAGAAAGAATGCCCTTAGGAATTAGTGCTAGCAGTGACACCTACCCAATGTATTACTTTCCCAAAGCAATTATGGTTTCAGATATACAGATAAACAGTAAACATCCTTGATTAAATTTGTTGAGAACACAAGGCACTTTTTATGCAGAGAGTATCCTGTTTTAAAGCATTGAGTTGGGTTTTGATTCACTAGATTATCAGCAGGGCTTAACCAACAATAGCTCACCTTTGAGTTTCTTATCCAAGTACTGATCTTGTCCAGTCTTGTTTAGTTTTATGAGTTCTAATGAGATCACTTCCCTGGATGACACAGCTGCAGGCTGCTTAACTACTCTCAATTTTTATATGTAGAAACGGAACTTAGTACCATTTATAGTTGAAAGCAGATTCAATTGATAATATTTCATGACAAGACTTTTTGGCCTATGGTCCACAGAATTACCAGTCAGTACTGATGTTCTGGGGCACAGCTGTCCCCATGGTGCACCTCCTGTCACCTTCTTGCTTAGCTTGAGGCCATGTAGTGGTTATGTACTTTCTTGCTCAGGGAGTAAGCAAGAGTAAGCACTTATTTCTGTGTTTGTCCAAATAACTAACTTCTGACTTGTTAACTCAGAATAGTAAAAGAATAAATATAAATATGCAATTGTATTTTTATGCTGTAGTCTGAACTGCATAGGAGATATGATTTGGGCACTGGTGTCAATCATGTTAGCTGCTTGTCTACTTTTGGTCATCTCTCCAAAGTACATTTGATAAGCCCTGGTTTGTTGTAGCACTTTACACATATATATCAAAGTACTCAGCAGGTGAATTCAAAGATTCTAATCAAATATTTTGGAAACAATTTATACTCTAGCTTCCTAGCAGGGATAGTTGCCTTTGTTGGGCTTGTTTGCAATGGGCTTGTCCAGTTTTACCATGGACTTTCTATTATCAGAGCTACTGTTGTCTGCAGAGGTTTGCTTTTGCCTTTTGTGGTGAATTCTCAGATATCTCATATCAAATATGAGATACAGATTTGAGGGGGGGGGGGGGG